CTATGTTAAATTTGCTTTATGGAACCAAATCATTTGACTGAGTCAGGCTAACTGAAATAAGCCTGGCTTATTTGGTAAACTTGTTTTATGAAACAGGCCTTGAGGCGTTAAAAGTGATCATATTTTTTCCATTTCATCGTATTGTCTCGAATCGCATTGTGTTGAATCGAATCGAATCGAAATCGGATCGCACTGCATCGTAATAGGGGTGAATCGTATCGCATCGCATCGGTAGCTGCTTCATATGTATCTTTAATGTATCGTATCGTTGGCTATGCATCGAGATGCGTATCGTATCAGCCTCAGTCATGAGATGCACATCTCTACTACACAGTGGTTGGATGTCATGACTCTATCTCCATATATAGCCTACTACATCTAGATCTATAGTTTCACGTTTCTAAGTATTCCCGATGGATATGAATTATTTTCATCGCACATTATCACCTTTAAATACGGCGTTTCTGATATGCACAGCAGACTCGTCTTTGATGTCTTACTCACATTTGGTTTTTCCAGCAATTCTGCTCACAGCTCCAGCAGATGTCACTAATGCCCCTAGATTTCCCAATGAAAGGCCGTAGACCAGTAAAGATGGTAATCACGACTGTATGCGACTGCTAATTATGTCAGCAAATGAACACGTCATGTGGTTGAGTTGAAGTCATAAGCGTTTTCATATCAGTCTATAACCATTTTCATGCTTACAATATAATGAGTTACTATTATATTTGGTATTTCATTGCACGACGAGTATTTGTATGCTTTTGGTTGCTAGAACCTGTTGATGTTGTTGCGAATTCAGGACCATGGACAGAGTCAGTTGTGCTGCGATCCGCCTCTATTCAGCTGTCACCAAGATTTGATCCAACCATCTCAGTGAACCATATTAGAGAATTAATAAGTGAGTATGTTTTAGGCAAAAAGTGGGAAGAGGCTGGTAATTTGAGAACTTCGAATTTGAATTTGAATTTGAATATTCCATGTAAAAATCGAAAATATTCCAACGATATCAGCTGCATGCTGTTACAATAATAACATTATTAATTTCAGAGATTAAAGAGCTGGGCAATTTCAGATCAAATTCCTGAGTTATTCACACTGAAGTAACATTTTTTTCCACTCTTCACTTGCACAAAATCAACATACTAATATTCAAAATACTGTTTGGACCATGTCTTGCTCCTGTCTATGCTGTTTATATATATATATATAATTCATTTATTTATTTGAAGAATTTGGTGAATGTTTATTACATTCTTGTAAAATGCACAAATTTCATCCAAGAGTGCAACAGAATCTATTCTGTCACCAGTGACTCTAAGAAAGCCCTGGTTCCTTAAGAGAAAGGGAACCTCCTTATGATGTTACTGTGCTTAGGGCGGGGGTCTTCCTCACATTTTAAGTCCATGGTTCACCATAACCCTCAGTCACATTCTATGACACATTATTGACACCTTATGTGAGGCGCACAGGGACACAATCGGTCTGCATGACCACTCGTTTCATTGGTGGCAGTGTTAAACCTAGCCATCCTCCTCCATTAAACACACAAAACAATATGAGCGTTTTATTTAGCCTATTAGGCTACTAAGCTAACGTTTGCGACTCGTTTTCTTGACAAACCGCATGCGTGGCGTTGGGTGTGTAAATAATTTGAAAGTAAAAACCGCAGGAGTGCAGGAAAACATTTAAATATGTCGTATTTCACCGTTAGATGTAAGTGCATCATGAATCAGTGACATCCAGAGGATTTACGCTACCACCGCCACAGCTCGCGAGAGACACGCATGCGCATTGTCAAAAAACAGCCGGTCTTTAAAAAACCCTTACGCCAACGGATGTAATCAAGGCAAAGTATATCTCTTATCTCTGGGCATACATGGTGAAATTGTAAGTATGGAGATCCTAATTTTTTTTTTTTTTAAATATACAGGGTATACGTGGAGAAAACGACCTTTGATTTTGATTGTTGAAGATGGCATGTCATGTTTGACTGAAATGTATTTTCGATGGTTGTCCAGGGCGATAAAGAGATATTGTAGCTGGGCTTCATGGTGGCACTTTGCAATGCGAGGATATGCGATGGAAATGTTAGTCCATTAGGTTTTTTTTTTTAGTAGAATGCGCTGTCTTTTTATTTTTCCCAGTGCGCCCCATGTTTAAGGATGCGGTTCACATTTAAAGCTATAATATTCCTTTTTTCGTCTGTTCTGCTTCGGTAAAATCTAGCAGACCATATCAGGCTTTTTCTGTGAGCCAGTGTAATTATCATCGTTTGCTAGTCGTGAAATCATGCAGACTAAAAATTCCGCAAAATACCAAATTATTATTTTTTTTAATCGTGTTTATTACCATCAATCACGGCTCGAGCATTTCTTATGCACCGCGGCTGTGATCACTGATGAAGGGAAGGGATCCGACTGCAGCTAGATGCGTGCTGCGCCCCCTCCTACCCCCAAATATTCCAACATCTTCCAGCTCAAGCGAGGAATTTGATTCCCACGATTCTTTGGAATTAACACAGCAAGATCAGAACTATTGATCAGGAGTCATTTAGCCTAATAATTATAACTCGTATCTGTATGCATTCATAAAGACAGCTCAGTATAGGAACCAGTGGTGGACGAAGTACACAAATCAAGTACTTGAGTAAAAGTACAGATACGTATAATAAAATATTAGAATGTAGTGAAGTAAAAGTAAAAGTTACTCAAAATAAAACGACTCCAGTAAAGTACAGATACTTGAAAAATGTACTTAAGTACAGTAACGAAGTAAAGCTACTCCGTTACTGTCCACCACTGATAGGAACTTACACATTTGCTTCAAATAACCTTCGGTTTTTATCCAATGCGTGGTTTGTTTGAACTTTAAAGCCATGTTGTTTAAATCAGTGCAGACACCAAAATAGAGAAATAGAGAAAACCCACCCACATGGCAACAAGTCTAAATTGATTGTGCTGTATAGGCCTAAGCATGTTTGCAGAATGAGAAGCACTGTAACACTGAATGTGACAATTATCTTATGATAATAAGCTATTTCATAAACATGCTTATGATTCAGATATGGTAGAAACTGTAATATATCAGTTATTAGTTGTAAAAATGACTTTTTCTACACAAAATCTAGAAAGCCATTACAAAAAAGACAAGTGTTTATGTATGGGTTCTATCCATTTATTCAGAGAAGCTGTGGAGAGCTGTTTGAAATAAGTATGACGTGACATGTTAGTGTTTGTGACATGCTAGGACATTTTGGTTTCTGGTCAAGTTAAAGTATGTCTTCTTCTCCCAATTTCTATGTGAATTCGGCATCTCGTGGGGGTTGCCATCCATCCTTTTATTTTCTAGCATGGTCAGTTAATGGAAGCCACTTTCGTGCATATTTGTTGTTTCGTTAAAAGCTTTATTTTCTCCATTGGAAACCACAAAATGTTTAAGTGGACTTGAGGAAAATAACTTCCTCCGATATCTAAACCCTACATTTGTTTGTTGAGCCATTCATTCATCCAGTTGATCTCTGTGGCTGCAGTTGTATTGGCTCCGTCTCAGTTGCATCCTGTTTTCTGCAGCCCATGGGATCAGAGCGGATGGAGATGCGAAAGAGGCAGATGTCGGTGCAGCAGGAGTCGGTGGCGGGCACCACAGCACCGGCGCAGAACGAGCAGCCCGGCCAGGGGAACCGTGGCTCCAATGCCTGCTGCTTCTGTTGGTGCTGTTGCTGCAGCTGCTCCTGGTAGGAGTTTTTCTTTCGTTACGCTGCTAATGTGAGATCTTATCTAACAAGGTTCGTTTCGGGCCAAACTAATGGCCAGGAAATCACTGTATTATAAGAAAATAATTGCATTTGACAAGATTATTACTTTTCTTCACTACAGTTAATATACCTGGAATATTGCTCAGATGTGATTTAAGTACTGTTTTTGCTCATTCCGCAAGTATGATGTCATTTTTACTGAAATGTCTGAGATCCCAAGACATCTGCTTTGAAAAACACCAGAACTCTTGATATTCTGGCTGTGAGCTTATAATGAGCACCAGTTACTGATATAAACTGAACGCTGAGCAGGTGAAAGATACTCCAAGGCTTTCTAATGCCTACTGTTAGGGGTCTTGGGATCATGATGTGTTTACAACCTCTCAACCAGTCTCACTGTTAGGAATGAAGACAGAGATGAGAGGAACCGGAGAGCCTCGTATGATTTTAAAGCAGAGGGGAATGCAGACTTTGAGGAAAGGTCAGTCGTTCCAGCCCTTTATTGAAAGAGGATTAGTAAAAATACAAAAAAAAGTAACTTACAGGTCATTAAAAGAAAAAGAAAAAACTGACATATTGGCTAGCTACAATGTTATGTTAATTAGGTGTAATTTGATATTCATGTGTAAAAATAAATAAATAAAAATATAAGCATTTTCTGTAAAATATTGAAACCAAAAAAGGCTTTTGTAGCTTCATAATCTAAATTGTTTGCTAAGTTGTTTTAGTTTTGTTTTATTTAAAAAAATAATAATTACTATAGTTTTGCAAGATGCAACTTTCTGAGAAATTAGACATAAAATATTCTTAATTTTTATTTTAATCGATTACTCTAGTTCCGCGAGATGCAACTTTCTGACAAATTATACCTAAAATATATATTTTTTTTATTTAAATGAATTGCGGTAGTTTTGTGAGATGCAACGTTCTGAGAAATTACACATAAAATAATCTTTATTTTTATTGAAATTAATTACTATTGTTCATGTAGGATGCAACTTTCTGACAAATTATCCCAAAATATTCTGTATTTTTATTGAAATTAATTGCTGTAGTTTTGTGAGATGCAACGTTCTGAGAAATTACACATAAAATAATCTTTATTTTTATTGAAATTAATTACTATTGTTCATGTAGGATGCAACTTTCTGACAAATTATCCCAAAATATTCTGTATTTTTATTGAAATTAATTGCTGTAGTTTTGTGAGATGCAACGTTCTGAGAAATTACACATAAAATAATCTTTCTTTTTATTTAAATGAATTACTATTTTTCTGGAGGATGCAGCTTTATGACAAATTACCCCAAAACATTCTTTGTTTTTATTTAAATGAACTACTATTTTTCTCTAGGATGCAACTTTCTGACAAAGTACCCCAAAATATTCTTTATTTTTATTTAAATGAATTATTATAGTTCTGCAACATTCAAATTTCTGACAAATTATACCTAAAATATTTTTGCTGTAACAGTATTTCATGAAAAAAACAAAAACATGAAGAACAGAAGAAAATTGTTACTGATGCGTCTGTTGCCAAAGTTGACTAAGACCCCTCTGTTTTTTGGCAGTACGAAACCGACTGCGGAGGAGGTCTGCTTGTGGGGGCAATCTTTCGACAAACTGATGCAATGCCCCGCTGGAAGAAGTGCCTTCCGGCAGTTTCTGCGCACCGAATTCAGTGAGGAAAACATGCTCTTCTGGTTGGCCTGCGAGGAATTCAGTAAGGAAACCAATAAGAGCCTCATCGAGGAGAAGGCACGGATAATATATGAAGACTACATCTCTATCCTCTCACCCAAAGAGGTGAGAGAACACATCAGCACATCTAGAAACTAGCTAATCACATTTCCTGTTTAATCAGGGTGATTAATATTCTTGTTTTTTGTGCTTTTTTCAGGTGAGCCTCGACTCTAGAGTTCGAGAGGTTATAAACAGGAACATGCTGGAGCCAACATCCCACACGTTTGATGATGCCCAGCTCCAGATATTCACACTAATGCAAAGAGACTCGTATCCGCGATTCATTAACTCGTCGGTATACAAAAACCTGCTTAAGACAGTCTCTGAGCAGTCGGTGGAAACTTAGATCTCTGTGATCCCGGTCGAATGCCCCCTCCCTATCTTTTGTCCGTTACCTTTTCTTGTGTAGAATATGTTTAAAAGGACCCCAGCATGGGTTCTCCCAGGGATTTTACCGCTATAGCGATCTGTACCTGAAAAAAGACGCTCAGGCCTCCAGGTCACTGGATTTTAAAAAAATGTCTCAAATTTCCCGAGGGCTCAACACAAGTACTCTACAAGTACTGCTACAGATCAGCATAGCAAACGATGCTCCAAAGGATTATCAGTGCGTTTCGATGTTTTTAAGAAAAATAATCGATTTTATTTGTGTTGGCAGGTTTTTTAAAAATTGTTTTTAATTCATTTTTTTGTATTAATGTTCGAAGGAAGATGTGATACCAATCGTGGGCTATAGACAGTAGATATATTTATGAATTTGTATTACAGTTCTTCAATCTTTTTTTTCTTGTGTTACAATATTTAAAGAAAAGGGAATTATGGGTAACAAGAATTGCCCGTTTATGAAAAATGCGTATGAGAATCAAAGCTCAAGTCAAGGCAACGCTTCAGCTCTACTCACGGGACGCCCCGTTGTAAACAGTATTGTTACAGCTACTTTATCAAATAGCCCCTATTATAATGACTTGGCATCTCCAATGAGAAATCATCATTATCAGAAATAAAGAGAAAAACAAAAAAATTATAATTAAAGAGAAAAAAATATATTGTAAGGGGGAAACATGTACAGTATTTAAATCAGTATTTAAAATCAAATAGCATATCTCAGACAGCATAGTACAGTTATTTCCCCTGCCTTTTGTACTGCTAGAAAATATCAAAAATTTATTTACATAAGTATCATCTATCCATAAGTGTTTTTCTGTATCATAGCATTCATTGATTCAACTAAGAGTTGGTTGGACATGGCAACTATTCCTTGCATGTACTCAACCCAAAGACGCTACGAAGACTGAAAGCCTCATTAGTGTACAGTATATAGAGGTAGTAATATTTATACGAATGACCTCGGATAGAAGAGATTTAACATGCAGGTATTATATTACAGTATCAAATGTGTTTTAGATCTAAACATGAGCCCTGAAAGGAAAGGTGCATATTTTATTGCTAGGACCCTCATAAGTAGATGACACCAAAGTAGCCAAGTCCAGTAAAACTGTGCGATTAGCTTTCTCTCCAATACAACTGACTAGAATTGGAGCTGCCAAGTTCGTACTATATTTTTAGTTCTGTGAATTACTTTGTTGCCTGAATTTCATGTCGCTCAAAGACAAGATCCTCACTCGGGGAAGTGCCTTGACATTCAATTTTGTGACATCTCTTTTTTGGCAATAGTTGATTTAAACTCTTGCCACATACAGTACGTAGACTCTGGGCTTTTGATCATTCATGAGATGACTTGTCCTGCACAGTGGTGACTTCTGAATTGAGCTATTGCACTTTGTTTGCCTCTAGTTTTGGAGCGAAAAACACCATTGGTTTTGGGTGACCGTGATTTCACCAAGTACAACATATTCCCGGATCAACATCCTTGTTGATCCTGGAACAACATTCCAATTAACCAATCAGAATTGAGTGATAACTGTTCAGGAAATATCTGTTTTAGGCTTACGATCAGGGTTAGGTGCTTCTACACCCTTGTAAATTAGCTATCTGATTTTAGGAATAAATTATGGGTAGGTTTAGGTTTAGGTTTAGGGGTAGGGATTGGGTTTAGTCTATATTTTTGGACAGTAATGTTGATCCAGGATCAACAAAAGATGTTGATCCAGGAACATGTCTTACTTGGCAAAATCACAGCGACCTTGGTTTTGTCAAGTGCTGAAGTGGGTCTGTTTAGTCAGGTACAATTCATTAGAGTCCAGACGTACATCTACCAACATGTATTTCATGGTGGTGCTTCTACTTAGATCTTAGATTAACTTAATATGAAATGTGCAATTTATATGTGCAATTTGAGCTGAGGGATTAACCACATAGATCAACCTCAAACACAATCTAAGCCAATGGTTTGGAGTTATACTGCCTATAAATCTTTTTTTCTTTCTCTTTTTTGTTGTTGTTCTGTAAAGTATACAAAAAAGTGTTATTTTCCAATCAGTTTACATAAAAATTATAATACATTTTTTTTGACTAATATGTGAATGTTTAGTAATCAGAGTAGGTTTTTTTTTCTGTTTTAATGAATTGAGAAAAATAATGATTTGTGGGCATTTGGAATCTTTAAGATACAATAAAGCACAATAATGTTAAAATGTGTGATTGTTGTCAAAGCTGCGGAATGTGGATTGGCACATGAGTTTGTGGGGTCATGGGAACTCGGGTTCGAATCCGTGAGGTGTATTTTCTCACCCCTACTTTGCTGTCTAATTTACTCGTACTGTTCAAGAAGTCAGGAAATTACAAAATAATATAAAAATGCAGTGCCCTCATTTATAAAATAAATTAATAATAATAAATTTAAAAATATATATACAATACATACATAAAATTGCCAGTTAATCAAAAATATTTATAAAAATACACTGATATGATCTACAAGGCATGCATATAAATATGCATAATCTAAAATATTTATTTATTAGAAAATTACCAGTTCCAAAAATGATTTGATCTATATTTGCCATTTGACATGTAAATAATTACATTACATTTAGCAGACGCTTTTATCCAAAGCGACTTACAAATGAGGACAATGGAAGCTATCAAAATCAACAAAAGAGCAATGATATACAAGTGCTATGACAAGTCTCAGTTAGCTTAACGCAGTACACGTAGCAAGGTTTTTTTAAATAATATAATAAATAAAAAGAAAAAGTTTTTTTTTTTTTAGAAAGAGTGCAAGTCTCAAAGGGACAAGTGTTTTTTTTTAAAGAATAGAATTAGAATAGAGAGTGCTAGAGTTAGATGCTCAAATAAAGATGGAAGAGATGTGTTTTTAGCCGATTCTTGAAGATGAAAATAATGAATCCAAATGTTCAGAATAACCACAGGGGTTTCTGTTTGGTCTTACAGTGGAGGGTAACAGTGCTGCCCACTCACTCTCCTGGAGAGGATGCACCTGGGAACCTCACAAAAGCACCTTGAAGCAAGTGTCCTCCCCATTTAACGGTTCCTAAGGACTAAAGTTAGTGTATATATAAAGAGCATTCATAATGTAAACATCTTTTCCTATTAAAAATGGATAAGTTGCTCTCCTTATCTTAAACTACTGTAAATGACGAGCAAAGATGCAGTTGTTTTTGGATGATATAAAGCTCCTGTTTTCCATATGCACAAAAGGACGTCAAGAACAACCACCAAAGGGTTGTTTGTTATTCAGATGAGATATTGCTAATGCTAGGGGCTTGTTAGGACATCAAGGCGGTAGTGGGTACTACAGCGAAATCATTTGAGAAGAGAGCGATAGAAATTCACTAAACTGAGCAACATTTCATCTGACCGCTTTTGATTGCCGATGTCAAAAGTAACATTGCCATAACATATGTGTCTGTTTTCTTTACAACACATTATCTCATAATCATAAATCTATTTTATGGGTAATGCTGTTTGTTGCTTGTTAAATGATCTGCCTTTTTGGAGAAAACAACCTCACAGAAAAAAAGCAAACACACGACCTCTGCCAAACAAATTGAGATTATGTTATGGATTGCAATCAAAAATAAATTCAGATCCCTACCATGCACAAAAAGTTGTTATAAAAAGCTGTTCTAGATCATACTTGTACTCATAAGAGGCCTACATTTCTGATATAAGCATTAAAGATTTTCAAATGGTTTTTGAATTGAAAAAAAAAAGATATCACTAAAAATAAAATAAAAATAATACCCGATAAGAACCTACAGATATCTTGATCTATAAGACTATTCATTTTCTTGTAAATAACTTACAAACAGCAAAAATTGATAAGAAAAATCAACCATCTCAGATGTATAATGTAGCGTCTTAAGATGACGTATAAAATCACAATCACCATCAATCTTTAAAACATTTTACTCCTGAAAGTAAAAGCCATGTACACAGTAAAAATGTGTAGATCATGCCATATAAATATGTATAATTCAGAGTGACAAAGAGACTCAAAGTAGCTTCCAAATGAACAAGGTTCAAAAAAATCTTACGCCGTTACCAAAAGCAAACATACGCTAAAAGCATTTTATTTTAAAATGGGCAAGTTTGTCTAGGAAAATTAAATAGTTTTGACTAGCTTTCTTTAGAGCAAAGCAAAACTATCTAAATATGAATGTTGTCAAAATTTTTAACTACGTATAAAAAGTGAGGGTAAAAGAAAACAGAAATTCAACAACATTGTTCAAAGTCCAAAGGCCTATGGCCTAGCTAAACGTCAAGTTAAAACACAGGACATGAGTTTGTGGACCATTATAATAAAACAAACGGTTGATGGGATCTATTGTGGCCTTTGTACATCAGGTGTGCCATTAAATTGTTGTCCATGATACAGAAACGTGGTCCTGGAATTTAGCTACATCTCCAAACACAGAGAACAATCCCAACTTCAGCAGAACTGCGGAAACAGATTGAATAGAGACTGCGTTAATTAAATATTCATCAATGAAATTCATCAATGGATACAACAAAATAAAACAGCAAAAGGACATAACATACCTTCCACCTATTTCCACATTCAGTGCAGAAGACGAATGTTGTCATCGGTTCATCAGCACTTCGAGTTTGAACCTACAGAAAGTTGTGTGTTTATAAAATGTACATGTATAAAAAAAAAATATATATTCATAAAACATTGTGTATGATTACCTGGGTGTAGGTACACTTCTTCTTTTTGCACTTGCCACAAGTGAACAGGTCAGTCTGGGTGCCGCCAGAAGTGGCCACCTGGTGGTCCCTGATGGCTTCTTTGGTCAGATTCTTCCGCATCTCCTTTAGCTCATCGCTTGCCATTTCCTGTTGGATTTAGATTTCCATACTGTCAGTATGAGAGAGAACATGTTCCTATAATTACTACAAACTGGTTGTCACTCACCTCTGCTGTCATTTTTGCTATGCGGTCTGGACTCACATTCCCACACAGCACATTCCTTCTCAGGTTGGGGTTCTTTGCATCCTTAAGATTGGAGATTCGGCTTCGTACACGATTCTTGTATTTCATATCAGTATTTTTGAACTCCGAAAAGATACGTGCAAGCTGGTCAAGGAAATGCGTGTGAAATTTAGTATGCTGACAACTAGTATTTTTTAGACTTCGCTCACATTTCAATAATAATTGCTACTTTTTGGGATGAATATGAAAAGGATATATTCTTCAATCTGAGCTCCAAGTTCATCGCAGTCAGCACCAATCGCAATGTAATCATCTAAAAGAAAAACAAGACAACACTTAAACCAATTAAAAAAATTATTAAATTGATATATTATATACCAATGGACCTTTTTCACATTTCCGGGATTCTCAGCCGCGGAAGTCATCATAGTTGGGTTAACCTGAAGAGCAGTGAATGGGAGAGTACCACAAATATATTTTTTGCATTCCCATTTGCTCAAATAGCAAAAGAAAAACTCCATGATAGTGTTTTCATGACTTTCAATAAAAGGAAAAAAAATTGAGAGAGACGCTCCCATAGACGCTGCATTAGAAACACCCTCGCATTAGCGTTAATTGTTTTTTTGTAATTTGATGCAAAAGTGATTTAATACAAAGAATAGTGTTATAAATGTACATACATTTAAAAAAAAAAATACAAATACAAATATGAAAAAATTTCGAGGATTTACGATGCTGATGACCGTTAAAAGCGTCATCACAGTCTTGTGAAAAGGGTCCATTATCAATCATTTCTTAATTATTAATAACCGTTAAATTGGCATTAATTAAAGTATTTCATGTATTTTGCACCATCACTGAAGTTTGAATGTTATGAATGATTTAGAACAAAATTAGTAACAAGTCTAAATACACTTGGCAAGACACTGTATATGGTAACTTAACAAGGAGAAAAATGTGCGCGCAGAAACATTGCCTGCCATGACTTGCCTCCTGTTTGCAAAGCACTTGACAGCATCTCCCTGCACTTGATACGGACCGAGTCAGATGTGCCTGGTGCTCGTGGGAAAGTGGCTATCAATGTGTTGGGTGTAACATCGACAGACTCACTCTTACTGCTAGAATTACTGCTTGAGCTGAGAGAGAAGAAATAACAAGATAGAGGAAAAAGGAACAGAGGGTGAGAAAGCTCGATAAAGCCGTATTTAGGGCCTAAGATCAAGAACGATGTGATTATTAAATTTCATAATATTTTATGACCATTAACATGGTCTTGGTACCTCTCCTCTCTGGGCTCCGGGCTGGCTTGAGATGGTGAAACCACTGGTGTTGTGCGTTCCTTCTTTTTCTCTTCAGAGTTCTTTTCGGCAGCAGGTTCATCTGGATGTCAAAACCACTCGTTAAACATTTCATCAGTGTAATACTAACAATGATCAGAAATTGGCCTATATATATCTGTGTGGTGACTCAAAATCTTGTACAAAAGGAAACCTGCAGTTGCTACCACATACAGGCAATTA